ATGTGTATGGAATATATTCCATTTTTTAAAATTTCTGGGTGGAAAATGTGCTTGTGGTACCTGCATAAATATGACATCAACTACAGATTAACATTGTGATTATCTTCAGTTGTTGACTGATGGCAAAATTCTGAAAAATACTTTTCTTCTAACTTCAATCACTCTTTCATTGCTCTGTTTAAAAACACCTTTTGTAAGTATTGTACAGTAAAATTATTTTCTGAATCTATGCTTAATCTATAATGCCACATGAGTGCTCCTCATCATGGAACTTATCTCATCCTTTTCAGATTCACCAAAAAATTATTCAGGGGAAGTTGTATAAAGTTGAAGATGAAGTGAGGTCTAAAAAAGAATATGTGTCAGTCAAAAAGTTCAAGGCATGAGAGCTACTTACAGATTCATATTTTGTGCAAAAAAAAAATAATAATGAAGCATGTTGGGATTATTGGAATGGATTCAATTATTTGGACACAGAAAAAAGGGCTTGTTTTGGTCAAAAAGATTGAGTTACAGCGTATCTTAGCAGATATGATCTCATTCTGTCCAGAAACTAGGAAATCAATTTCACAGCATCTTGTTCCAGCAAATCTCATTAGTTCTGGCTTTGAAGGTCTGTAAACATCATATTTCGATTTCAATGCAATCACTTTCAATTGTAACAAATGGTTTTTTATGGTTCTATGTATTGTAATGGCTTTGTTGTGGCCACATTTTATTTCAGCTCAAACTTTTCGCACTGATTGCCCCTCATCATCAATATATACCCTGACTTTATTTTCCGATGAGGGTTCATTCCACTTTATGGACTTGGTCGGATTTCTGGTGTACAGTATAGTTGGTTGTTGAAGCAGACCATAACCGTTTTTATGGGCGTCACCATATAACAGCACCTGTTCCTTTCTTTCTCACCAGTTTGCTTTTAAGGGCGTCGTCATAAAAGCAGTATATTTCTTAATTTATTTTTTTTCCTTTTTTATTATTGGGGGAAGGGAAATCCGCGTCTAATTACCCCGGTCATGCTTTTGTCCTGGTTGTCTCTTGAGGTGGGGTTTCTTTTTGCCTGTTTTGAAGTGAAAGTGGCTCTGGATAGGATTAGTATTATATTATACTAATAATAATGTAGTAGGATATTTATGAATAGTTACAGTAGGATCAGTGTTACCATCAGTTACGCGTGCATGAGCCATGACTTGGTGTAATGAAGCAAGTGTGTCCATTTCACTACAACGGTACCCAACCAAAAGTCCCCCCGGAAAGCCCCCAAGGTCAAAAGCCCTCCCTGCCAAAAGCCCTCCCCCCCCCCCTCCCACCACTTTTAAAAAATTGGATGCAAGTTTCATGATAGTGTTTGGTGGCCCTGAGAAGGGCTATTTGCTTTCATTAGTCCTCAAAAGGATTGTTTAATAATCATCTTCAACATAACCTTCTGATGCCTCTTCCCCACTGTCAATGATGCTCTCCATGTCATTTTCTTTTAAGTAGCAATTGTAGTATGCTATTTGACCGCCCTTCTGATTTTTTGATGATCTGAAGTGCATCAGCCTTTGGACCAGCAAGGTGAACTGTAGATTTTGCAGAAGTCAGCAAATGATGATGCTTTGACATTCAAAGAATCACTGACGACCACTGCAGGTGAAGAATCCCTTTATATACTCAACTTACAAACATATTGGTACTTGGCCTTGTGCTGGGCCTGCTGGTGAGAAGGTGCAGCTTGCCATCAAGAGTTACAAGAATACCTGTAATCCCCAACTTTTGCACCAAGGGGGGCTTTTGACCAAGGGGGGCTTTTGGACTACACCCCTCTACAACGAATTCTCTAGGCACCAGAAAAATTCCTAGTCCAGATAATTTTTTTGAAAGTAACCCTTATAACATAGGGAGAGAGCCTTCTTATGGGACCAAACCAAAATTTGGTATATATAGAAATTTTGTTTTATGAAGATCACTTGAGATGAGAGGGTCCACCTGTATCAGATACAGTAAGGAAAGAAAAATTGTGATTCAATTACAGCATTCAGAGTAAGAAACAGGCATTCATTGTTAATTGGCTCACCTGATGTATTATTCATATGCTCAGTAAAATATATTTTGCATAATTGAATGTCTTCAAACCTTGAAAAAAGCATTTTTATAACAGAGTTTTTTAAATGAGCCTTGAATAAATACTGTGCCCTACAAAAATGTGTCCGGAAGAGGTTCAAGTAATATTCTGCCTATAAATGAGCAAGGACGACTTTAAAAAATTACTGTAAGCATTAATTTTCTACAAAATTAAAATAAAATAAAATTATACTCTGAATTCCAGCGAAACAAACTGAGAGCGTCATCTATACTTGGCTGACAGATATCACGGGTAAATATTTCCTCTGGTTGGACCAGAAAAAAAAAGATTCAAGGTTTCCAAGCAGCAAATCTCTTGCAGAAAATTCAGGAAATATTTCTTTTAAAAATACTCACGAGAAAATATTGAACCTCTCCCATTTAATTCTGGCAACAACCCGAAAAATTCACCAATCACTAAAAAAAATTCGAACAGAAGCTTGAGTGAACCACTCTGTTGTAGCGATCACCTCCGCTGTTCACGAAAAATTTTGAATACCAATGATAATTTTTAAATACCCTGTACAATAAATGTTCATGGCCAGTGTGATGAACGAGGACTTCCGGCGAAACGAAGTAAACCATGACTGAACCATAGGTTTTCCCGCCAAGTAATTCTCTCGGAAAGATACAACTTACTGAACCTCCCATTTGTCGGTGCGGGTATTTTTTTATTATTTATTTTCCGGGAACCCAAAATTCATCAAATAAAACATTGGCTCCATCTTGTTGCGAGGTCAACTTATTTCTCGACCTTCTTATTCCTCTCCTGTCTCTTTTTTTTTTTTTTATTATGAATTAAACCTGGTGAGATTTCAGTTAAGTTGACCAGCTTTTGGGTTCCCAAATGACCGACGTCCTTGGGTAACCGGATTAAGAAGAATAAAGCCCTGCATTGTTGTATAACAGTCTGCCGGGGTTTCTCATGGTCACTCAACTTTAAGTTCATCAGTATCGCCTCGAATGTTGACTGCGTATCATACGATATTTCTTGTATTCCCTCCAATAACCTGAAATGTCTGTCTGCTTTCAGGTGTATTGACTTGCAGAATTAGACGTGAGAAATTTTCCGGTTTTTTTTTCTGGGAGGAAATTTTAAATTAGTGCTTACGTGTATCTCGGAATCATCGGGCTATTTACGTGCTGTTTTGTGCACGCGAAGTGTGTGTTTCCCTCGGAATTTCGGAATTGCACTCCAGTGTTTTCAGAAAGTGGAAATGTTTGCCATACTGTATTATTACTGAATATGAATGTGGATTAGCGGATGTGATTTATATGAACATAAAAGGTTCCCGGAAGTCTGTGGAGGTTCATAGTGATTTTTTATCGTCTTAAACTTCTTCATAGAAAAAACCGCGAATGAATAATCCTGTTAATGCGGGCATCACATCTTTTCAAAAAAACATGAAATATAAAATTTTTGTGAAGTGGGGCTTCGTTGATTGAACCTTGAATTTTGATTGAAGGCCAGTGATAACGGAAAAATACTTGATGGACTTCTCTCCCAGCGTGTTTATCTGCACAGTAAGATACGTTATAACTATTTTTGGGGTCCCAATAATGTTATACGGGTTCTTTACGACGAAATCCTTTCTATTTAAAAAAATTAAAAACGGAACTCGGGTTGCCAGAAAAAGAAAAAAATGCGTTGTAGAGTCCGCTTGCGGTTGATCTCGTATCTATCTAAAGCGAATTCTTTTCTTGTCCCTCGAATTTTATTGTGTAGAACCCTAGACATAGAGACACTCAAAAAATTCGTTGTACGGGCTATACCGAGAAAGTCGTTGTAAAGAGAAGTCATCCGAGTAGAATGTGCTTCAACGAATATCGCAATAGCGAATTTTTGATTGGAAAGATTTTTTTGGCCCAGCAGTAGCCATGTCATATATTGATTTTGATATAAATAATTGTTGTCAATAACGAAGCTTTATTTAAGGTACCGAGCGCTTCGTCGTAACGAGATTTTACTCGGTATTTCTTTTGTACATTAATTCTGGTTGTCCTGGTTTTAAAAGTCAGAGCCTACTTAGCAATTGTGCGCTATGCAAGTTGACCAAATTGTTGACGGGATACGGAAAAATCTATACACAAAATTCGAGACCGCTTGAAAAATTGAGACAAGCCCGATTTGAGTCAGGGTGATTTAGAGACAGGGAAAATTGAAGACAGACATTTAGAGACAGGGACAAAATGATACAGTCCCAAAGCAACATATTGGAGAGAAACTCAGGAATGTCATCTTGAAAGTTATGTGCCTCTGTCTCAAAAATAGTCTGTGTCTCAAATTCTCTGTCTCCAAATGTATCTGTCTCAAATTTTCCCTGTCACCAAAAGTTTCTGTCTCAAAATTTCCCTGTCTCAATTTGTCCTAGTTCAATGGTGCATGTAGCGAAAGGCAGCGACATCTGTGAAATGTCCCGCGCCACGGAAAACTTCGTTCCCTGTGATGTCAAGTCCCCTGAAAGTGACTTGTCAGATTTCACTGAGATTGAATCGTCCCTGGAATAATTCTGCGAATCATGGGACAGTACTTCCGCGTATTGCTTTGCAATCATGGCATTACTGTGAAATTTTCTCCTTTTTTCTATGGAAAATATTCATCGAATGAATTTCCAAAAACATTTCTATAAAAGCGTGTGATTAATTTTATATTCAGCGCAAAATATATTGGGGCTTTTGGTACTGTTCCACATGCACTAGGTCAAAACGTTTTTACTCTCAAAACTTCTCGTATGTTCAACTGATCATATTCGTTATAATTTAATAACTCCATTGTACTGTACATACTTTCATCCTGTACTCTTCGCGTTGAAAATCGCATTGAATTCTTCGGTTCCTTGACGACGCTTTTTGGGATTGATTTTGAAAATATAAAAATCTTGTTTTTTTCCTTCAAGGCCGCGAACAGAAACTGGAAAAAGTGCTTCTTCATCCCAACCCGAACGAAAAAAAAAGAAAAAAGCGGCTTCGCTGACGTTCGAGATTTTTGTTGATCCCATCCTACTATTGTGACTATAGAAGAAGTTGTCAAACATGTTGAAGTCGAATTACGATCCGGTTGGGAAGAGTGAACCGCACTCCGGTGTTGACGTGGAGCACTCCACGGACAAAGGCAAACCTGGCGGAGATCCCGGGTTCACAGTGCGAGTGAGAAGCATGGATCGCAAGTGGCTCATTTTGGGCGCCGTTGCCGGCGTCGTTCTGATTGGTGTCATCGTGGCGGTCATTGTGGTGTTTGTCACGCAAGCTGGTGATTCTTCTTCGGCTGGTGAGTGGCGAACGTTTATTCTTTGCCGTACTTGGAAACTGCGTCCACTTGCACGAAGCTTTTCTTAATTTTTTTGCTACGAGCGACATCTTTGTTTCAGCTGTCAGTATACTGAAGCTCTTGAACTCCGTAGGTGTCACTCTACACGGTATTGTACAGCAGCGGGGTCTTGGTTCACAACCTTAATGTTGACCAAATCACATTTTCCGTTGAGAAAGTGCAGGAATAATTTCAATGGGTTGAATCTTGAAAATGTCCATGAAAATGAAAATAAAAAATTTAGTGAGCCCTAAATTCAAGACCTTTTATTGAACAAAATTGGAAGGTGAGCTCAAAAAAATGTTGATGAAGACAGGAACCAAAGAAGTATACCAAAAAGAGTTGGTTAAGTCAAAATTTCTGTGAATAATCCTTCAGTAAATTAATTCAGGCCTCTTAGTCAATCCTTCCAAACAATTCATTATCTCTCAACTGTATGCTTGCATATGTGGAATCTCTCTACAATGAAAATCAAGGTTCAAGAATTTTTTTTTTTAGAGAGAATATTGTTATTGAGAGCCCTCTATATCATGAGGAAAGAACCCTTTGGTACCCACAGTAAATTAGCTTAATAGAGAAAATCGTGTAAAGATCATTGTAGAGAGAGTCCACCTGCATTACTGTATTTAGTGGGGTTGACAACTGTACCTGGTCCTGCTTATTTATTTCATGTCTCTGGAAAAAATTGTACTTGAATTTTTGACATGTGCGACACCTTGGTTTTAGTTTTCATTGCACAAGGAGTCAGAAACTCAGAAGTCACTGTACAGTACAACATCCCTGGCGCAGATGTGCTGCTATTTTTAGCGGGGTTGACAGCAGTGTGTTACTGCTTTCTTAATGTTATAGATGCTTATTGAAAACCTAATGAGGGGATTAATTTGCGCATTTCGTATTCATTTCCAGAGGAATCCCCTCTTAGCCGTTCTGGAATCCGTCCGGAGAAATGCCTGTTGCAACCAGAACCTGGAATGTGTCGTGCCTATTTCGAAAAGTATCATTATGACCCTGCCACTGACTCCTGCCTAACGTTCGTCTACGGGGGTTGCGACGGTAACGAGAACCGGTTCGATTCCTTGGAAGAATGCGAACGAATTTGCCTCGCAGGAAACAAAGGTGTCGCTCCTAGCAAGACGAAGAACGAACCCTCCGGACCAGCGGATGTCAAGGTGGACGATAACACGAAGAAAGTGTGATTCCTTTTGTGTATTGTGCTGTTTGTTTGTCTTCCTCTTTCTCCAACAAACCCACGAATTATTATTTTGTACTCACAAAACAAACAAGGATAAAAACACGGTGTGCATACGTGATGTTTACCACCGGCTTTTCTCCCGTCTTCCTCCAACGTTGAATTTTTGTAATTTAAGACAAAAAAAATATGAAAAGAGAAAAGTTGAAGACACTTGTCTGACTGATCAGGCGTGGGTTTTGTGTGTGGTTAACTGAATAAAGACTGTGTTTCGTATGTGGCGTGTGTTCCGTTTCATTCTCAACTTTTGAACAGTACGCGAGGGGTCCAACAAAAGTTCGCGGGATATGAGTGAAGAGCAGAGAGCTGCCAGGGTGACTTTTGTAAACATTTTCGCTAAAATCTGTTGAATAGGACTGATTTCTTTTTCTGAGCCAAAGAACGTTTTTTATTGTTGAAAAATGATTGCTTTTCACCTCAATTGTACGCCGTTTGAATTTCCATTCCAGTAATTTGTGTGGACCCCTTGTTGTAAGTCACGTGTATTTCCATCATTCATTCCAGGATTCCAACTTGAGTAATTGAAGGGGGAATATATCACTGCCATTGTTTGATGGGATGTTTGTTACATTCAGCAAATTACAAATCAGGGGGTAGATATCCAAAGTGCTCATATTTGGTCCTTGTTTTGAGTCGTAAGTGAATCCGGAACGAAATTTGGGTCCATGTCCAATGAAGAATGGATGCATTTCAGAGAGTGAATTGTCAAATCCATGCTGGCCATAGTATGAAGCATGTGGTCCTGCAGGAAAAATAAAGATAATCTATGATGCTAAAATATTAAATATGTACTAGTAATTAACTTGAATCAATTCAATTTCTTCAGCTTCATACTTGAATCAACAGCTAGGCCAGAAGTACAGTACAAGAATTACAAGGGGTCTCTTTTTGCAGCAAAACTCAATGGACCTGAAAAATGGTTACATTGAGACGTTTGCTGTAGAGCAGTATTCCCTAACCTTTATGGGCCTGCAGACTGGCAAATTTCCAGAAAAAAATTCAGCAGACTGGCAAATTTTCATATAATTTTTCCAGACTCAGAAATGTATGGTTTGAAAGACTTAATGGCAGGATAAAATGGGAGAGAACCCTATGGGACCTATAAAACTTGCTTTGTGCATAAGATAATTGTAGGAAGAGTCCCATCTGTATCACTATGACTCCTCTACCTCTTGAAGTACATACTCCCTTATAATGATGGCAAACAACAAGCAAGTACAGTATTCATAAAATCTGAATAACAGCTAACTTCACGCTCAAAATCTATTTTTTATTATCAGAGGAGCAATCAAATCTGCAAAAAAATTTTGAAATTCAGATAGTGATAATCTTACAAACTCATATACAAGTACATGTGTACACCTTGAATAAAATCATCATGTAAAACATGAGCAGGCCTGAATTAACTTTGTGGTATCATCTCATTAAAGGACAACAAAGCCAATGTATCTCTGAAATAACTTAAGTGGTTAAAATTGTGACAAAGAAAAATTTTCAAATAACATTGTGGCTATTGAGCTGGAACGTTTTTGTCACCAATTAATTGTAGCAATTAGATTTGTTATTGACATATTCCACTCATCCATGCCTCTGAATTAGCCAAGGATTATGACTTGTGTCATGCTTATGACTATAGTGCAGGCCAACATCAGGTGTAACCAGCACAGGGAGACAAACCAATGGAAATATGCCATTTGGACCAGGTTCTGGCCCCAGTAATTCAGGCTTCTCAAATACTCAATTCTACTCACTGTCATTCCAAGGTCCAAGCCAGAAGGCATCATCAAAAGAATAATTGAGAGGAATGATGGCCAGGTAGTCAGGGAGGTGTTGCAAACTCCCCATATGCCAGTCATTTTCTTCAGGGAAATTGGATGTGTCAAAGAGCTCAAATCCAAGTCTTTCAGATGCCTCTTCCAATTGCTGACCAATTTCAGCATCATTTTCTGTTGAATTAATCCATTCTAAATATATAATTTAGTTTAGTTCTAATTTAAATTTTGTTCTGTTTGTCTCAATTAATGTCAATTCTTTTTATGTTAAAATGCCCCATTCTTCTTTACCTTAATTCTAGGCTGTGCTCAGTCAAACATGATTTTTAGAAAACCTCACTTATTGAATGACAAGATCTAATTTTCTGCATATGCTTAAATGTGTACCAACCTACAGTGCTTTATAATGTTAAAAATGCTTCTAGACACAAAAAATCTCATGAAAACAAACTTTCCATTTGCATCAGCAGGGACCAAACAAAGTGTTTGTATGAGAAGAACTTGTATTTCTGATGAAAGCTCTGGTGAAACACTTGTATAGAATAAAATGTTGAATGGAGATACAGATTACTTCATTGCTCCTGGGAGGCCTCAGAGAGATAGAGAGAGTGTGCCTGAAAAACAAGTTTGAAATGTTGATGCTTTTGACTTGATGAAGTTTGGTCTATTAAGGCTGCATCTATTTGTAATTTTATTTTATTTAAAAACTTATTTCTTTAGGCCTGAACATTTTCTGGGCAATTAAACACCATACTGAACAAAATCAGGATAGCTCATTTGTCACATAGAAGTTCATCAGTGACAAATATTCTCCAGTAAAAAAAAACTATGTTCATTCACAAAACTAGAAAACTCTACAGAACATTCTTAAAAAAAAGGATTTGGTTTGCTCAAATTCTGAAATTTTGATCAAACCACATTTTTTTCCCCTGCATATATCCATGTGAGAAATTTTGACCAAAACCATAAAAGCAATTTTAAAAATGAAAATGGATAATTAAATGGAATTTTACATATTACATTATATGGTGCTTTACTGATGAATCTGTTGCTATGATCACCTCATGCAATATTTAATGGGAAATTCATATTATTCACCATTCAATTTGTAGAAAAATAAGATTGGGGAAGAACTGGAGACTCCAAGCTTATCCATGATGGAGGTTTCTTGAGAGATGTTGACAAGGTTTGTTCCAAATACAGGTGACATGCCATGGTCTGCAGTGACTATCACATGTATATCATCCCACAAAGCCATTGTTCTCAGCTTCTGCACTATGTAATCAGTAATGTAATCTGCCATTTTGACTGCTGCAGAAACCTGCAAAAGACAAATGAGACGTGCTTATATTATTCACAGAAATGTTGTTATCATCCAAATCTAATCAGTGGCCATGAACATTATATTTTTCATGGGAAAGTTTTATGTAAAACTTAATCTTTACTTATGGTTTAGTTTTTGTGTACATATTTTTTAATATTCCGGAACTTATAATCCACAGATTTCTCTTTGTCAAATGTCTGATGACAGAAGTGTGAAAAATAAAAGCTCAACAATAAAATTACCACATTGGGGGAAATGAGTCACAATATTTTAAAAATTAAGTGCATGCTGACAATAGCGTATAAAAGCCCATTTCTTGAAGTGGAATAAATAAATTTGAGTTGAACTCTGTTCTCAAAATCTTGCAAAAAAGATATTTTCTATGTGCAGTACCTCATCAGAATCTGGACCAAAGTCATGGCCATTCTCGTCCACAGTCTCCGCATAAAAAGCAACAAAGTTTGCAGGCTTTTCAGGATGAACAAACCAATTCAGTGCAATTTCAACCCTTTCTTCCAGAGTTATATCAGGGTTAAATGGCAGAGCATGAGTTGATTTCTGGTAATTTTCTCCGTATCCAAAGTTCATTCCTGGCCACATGCTCACTCCACTGAATCTGTCCCCAGCTTCCATTTCATTAACGACCTATGTGGAGGATGAGCCACAAAGATACGAAAATCAGCTGAAAATTTAAAGAATTGAAAGAAAAAAGGCACAATCCGCCGGGAACACGGCAGGGGGCTTTTCGGTAAAAGCCCCAACTTAAACTAATTTCGGATATATTTCAAGCAACAAACAAGAGTAAGATTTCAAGCACTTTCAATCAATTTAAATGTTTTTGAGAACTCAGGAAAAAATGGCTGAACCAAATTCAGATCAATTCAACAAAATAAGAACACAATTCGCACTTGGAGAAGACTTCCGAACGCAGCGAATCGCAGAACTAGACTGTGTTCAGTTTTAGTATTCTATTTCTGAGATCAAAAATGAATTGCGCAATAGGGATTCCGTGGAATTCCTATTGCGCGATTTTTTGCGCGATTTTTTGCCGAAAAACTAGTTTTTATTTTTTCACTGGTTTTAAAACAGGGTTTTTGCGTGGCAGTGCCGTACAACCTATATGAACATCAGAGATGAGTTACTTAGGGATATAATTAAAAAACATGCATAATGTCTAGCTGTGCACTTGTGAGATATTGTTTCCCATGCAAACATTGCCCAGGTACAATGATGCTTATAGATTTCAGAAAGGTTTAAAATCAAAGCTGACAGGAATGTAAATCCTCAAGAGATTTTTGTAAAAGGACATCAGTTGTTAATGCACATATGCATCCAGTCACAATGTTGTTATTGACATTTACATATGTCGCAGTGTGTCTAAATTTTTCAGGCTAGAAACAAAGTTTAAATTTGTTGTTGTTTTAATCAGTAGCTTTTCTAAATTTTAGATAAAATGGTTACCACATAAAAAAAAATTGGCTCATAATGGGATTTAATATCAATAATTTTTGTCTACTCTGAAAACATCAGAGGTTGCATCCAAATGAGAAAACCCTCATATTTAAAACTCAATGAACTTTAAATTTCAAAATAGATTGTACTACTCCATTTCCTATAATTGCTTATTTGTTGTAAGAGGGGGTTACTGAGTAAAGAATGTCAAATGCATATAGAAGTATTTATATAACAGATATACTCTCTCTCTATATGACAATATTGTATGCAACAATTTTCTCTGTACAGTATAACGAATTTTACTTTGGTCCCATATGGTTATTATTCATTTGCTCCTGTTGACCAACTGGTATACTTTCGTAATGCAGCTCGAAATATGAAGATCACCAAACGCTTGTTGGAAAAATTGGGTGATTGGAGGGCCCCCCTGCCCATTCCTGGTTGCGTTTTTGAAAGTTACGAGTACGCCACAAATGATTACCCTTATACTGGTCCAGCTCGTAAGAATAGCGACAAACCGGCTGTTCTGATAATTAGTACCTCAATGCTGACTGGCCTAAAAATTGGGAATTTCGTTTTTCGAACTCGGATCTATGAACCCTTATACTGGTCCAGCTCGTAAGAATAGCGACAAACCGGCTGTTCTGATAATTAGTACCTCGATGCTTACTGGCCTTAAAATTGGGAATTTCGTTTTTCGAACTCGGATCTATGATTCGCAATTGATTCGTTGGCCAATTCCGGATTTCTCGTATCTTACGGAGGGAATGGGTGTTGAGATTTTCCAAGTAAGTACATTAGAATAATTAAGACAAATTATTGTTGTTTTATTTTATGTTTGTGGACTTTTCAGATTTCCATCAGCGGTTGGTCTATGGTTATGCGACGTGGGAGTATCTCAAATGAAAACATGATGGATCTCGTTGTCAAGGGATTTAATTTGGATAAAACTTTCAAATTCTCGCAAGTTTACATTCGAGGGGGAACTAACGATATTAAACAGTTGGTTACCTTTAAATATTATGATGCGAAATTTGCTGGTTTTGATTAGTCGTCAAGGGATTTAATTTGGATAAAACTTTCAAATTCTCGCAAGTTTACATTCGAGGGGGAACTAACGATATTAAACAGTTGGTTACCTTTAAATATTATGATGCGAAATTTGCTGGTTTTGATTGTTTCTTTAAAGAATGTGAAGCTTTCTTCCGAGATATGGTGACGACGTTTATGTGCGATGTTTTTGCTTTAGGGGCATCTCCGCCTTCTGCAGACCCACTTCTCCAGAGTCCTACTAGCGTATTTATGGAGGTTGATTCAAATGGTCTGCCTTTAGTCCCTCTTAGATCGGGGCGAAATATTGATTGTGTTGATGAGGAAGCTAGAGAAAGAGCGGGTCGTCTATTTCAAAGGGCATTCTACAATCGACTTAACAGTTCTTTTGGTGTGAAGAGGGATATCAATAAGGACGGTTTTGGTTGGACTCCATTGCCCACTCCGATTGACGGATTAGTTCACTTTAGTAGTGGACGCGGGAAGTTAACAGATTTTGGTCATCTACTTCCTACAAGTTATTTAACTTTTGCCAAGTATCATTGTTTGGCCTTATGGGCTGGAATTCGAAACTTGCCGGGTTTTGATAAAAAGTTAGGAAGGGTTTGTTCTGGAGACTTAACAGTTCTTTTGGTGTGAAGAGGGATATCAATAAGAACGGTTTTGGTTGGACTCCATTGCCCACTCCGATTGACGGATTAGTTCACTTTAGTAGTGGACGCGGGAAGTTAACAGATTTTGGTCATCTACTTCCTACAAGTTATTTAACTTTTGCCAAGTATCATTGTTTGGCCTTATGGGCTGGAATTCGAAACTTGCCGGGTTTTGATAAAAAGTTAGGAAGGGTTTGTTCTGGCTCTTACCCGCGGTGGAACGACTGTGGGAATATTATTCCTGCTATTTCTCCTGCTGTGGAACATGGACATGCTGGTTCATTTGGACCTATTCCTACTTGCGTTGGACCTACTTTTTCTGCATCAAATGGGTAGGTTTTTCTTTAATTATTTAATTATATTTTCGTAGTTTAATATCATTTATTATTTTCAGATTTGAACAAGTGAAGAAGTACGACTATGAAGAATGTTTTCTGGTTGATACTGTACTGAACTCGAATCGTGGACAGCTAACAACTACTATCGAACCTGGATGCTTCGTACATGTTGATGGGATGAAGAGTGTTCGATTGGTGGTTCAACGGACTCCTGGAGGGGTTTGGACTGTTGGTCATGGCGGTCAAATGTTTAATGACTTTTCTTCCGTGAAGTTAGCTTTGGGGGTTTATTCTTGCAAAGCTTAATTGAATTACTTCTTTTTCGTGGTTGCTTTATTTTGTTCGTATTCGAAGAATGGGTCATATCGGGTATATCGGCTGTTTGGGTTGGTGGGTTGTATAGGCGGGATGTATAGGCGGGATGTATAGGCGGGATGTATAGGCGGGATGTTACTTTGTTTGCAATTTGTTGCTCATGATCCGTTAACGTGTTACAAAATGAGTTGCTGCTCAAGATTCGAGTTCGTTATGTTACTTTGTTGAATATCAGTATTGTTGAAGTTAGTTGCCGTACTTTGTCAAGTGTTCGGAGGAATTTTGCTGGATCTTCTAAGTTGTGATCTCGCTGATGATGAAGGTTGATAAACTCATTCGTGATCCTATGTTAATGAAATCTTTTCTCTGTTATTTCATTGTACTTTTGTTTCCAATAGTCGTATTAGGTTTACTTTTTTTGGGTCTATATTCTCTTGCTGGGGTACTTCCATTTCCATTGGAACCAAGTTTTGCACTGATTGATTTCTTAATATTAGTGGTGAATAAGTTCCGTCTGCGTTAGGTTGTGATGTAACAATATCAACTGATCGGATTAATCCATCTCTTTGGCTTTTGTTTACTTTGAGTATTCTACATAATTTCCATTTTAATTTCTCAAATGGTGATTTTGTTTTTAAAGATTGATTTATTAAAAGAACTATTTGTCCTTCTTCTGGGAGTAGTTTGGAGTTTTTAATTTTATAAGGGAATTTCCTTAACGATTTAATGTATGAGTTATAATAAGAGGTCCAAATTTTGTCTACTACTTTAATCCTGTATAATGTTTGTCTGGTATATTCACCTTTATTGTCTGTTTC